CGGGTACGCAAGAGCACCTTGTGTCCACGGGACTCAACCAGGTAGGGACTTCTCCGGCGTGAGCAGGGCACTATCACGTAAGTCCTAGTCTAAAGGACTAGGGATTGTCTAGTCCTTTAGACTCCTGACCTAGGAAGGTGGGGTAAGGCTGGTGGGAGGTAGGGAGCTGATGTCCAGTTCCAGGCCTGTCCATATACGGCCTGCCTCTGCAGCTGGGTCTCAGAGCCCCAGGGGACTGAGGACTGTGGAAAACTGGTGAATTCCATTTGCAATAGCTAAGCCTGACCCTGGGAGCTTTGGTGGCCCCACAGGGACCAGAGTCCATGGAGGGAACCGCCCCTGTCCTTTGTCACCTAGGGGTTGTTAAAGGAGCAGGACATGGAAACCCAGACCCTTTCTCCTGGCATGTCTTCCCCCTGCTCTGCCTTGTACCAGGCATACCCTCAGGTATTGGGTTTCAGGAGGCCCTGAGGTAGGCAGGCCAGGACCCTCTGAGCCTCTCTCTGGCCCTCCCCACAGATGCGTGAGCAAGAAGTGAAGCTGTGGGACACCCGTTTCTTCTCCAGTGCACTGGCCTCCCTCACCCTGGACACCTCACCCGGGTAGGAACTGCAACAAGTTGGGGGGGCTAGGACCAAAGGACCAGATGAGTGCTGAGTCTGGGTCTGGTGCATTAGTCATTGGTAAGGGTCCTTAATCCAGCTTGGCAGTGAGTCAGGCTGGTCACCTGTTACCTGGCTGCAGGTGCCTGACCTGGGCTACAAGGTCTATGTAAAAGACTGCTCTCCAGGAGCCCCAGGTTTCAACAGCAGCGGCACTGAGGTAACCTCCAGTTAGCCAGTGAGCCTGACCTGCCCTGGTAGACCCTGGTGGCAGAGTGGGTGCTGGGTCATGGGGTACGGCCTAGGGCTCACAGGTGTATTTTGACATTTGGGAAGGGGATTGTGACCTGGAAGATGCACTTGATTTTGCTGAGGATATTTGTGGGACTGAGGACCCTGGGAGACCTACAGGAAGATGGTTATGGGATGGACAGGTAGAGATGTTGGGAGAGATGAGCAGATTTAGAGGGGCCAGTGGCAGATAGGAGTGGGCTTGGATTCCACTGAGGTTTATGACATTCAGTCAGCACTTGCTACACGGCTGTCCCTGTCCGTCCCCAAGTGGGGCTGGTGCCCAGGAAGCATGGGGGAGGTCCAAATACACCTTTCCTTCCATCCCCACCAGAAGTATATGGAGGAAGGTTTGTGGAAACCCTGGTGGGGTCCCCAACCAGGCCGGCAGCTTTGTGCAGAGATGGCATTGGTCCACAGTGGCAGAGAGCCAGCCATCAGGAGGTCTGCAATGAGCACTTACAAGGGAGCAGTCGTTTAGTCTGCACGACCACCCACATTATAGCTGAGGAAACCGAGGCTTGGGAAGGTTCACACTTAGCCAAGCAAGGATATGGGGGGAAGGGGCAAGGACTTGGTCCCTGTCCCAAAGCTCCAGCTGTGACTCATGGAGGGGCTGGCTTGTGCTCTTCCAGGCAAGGGGATTGTGGACTGCTAGAGTTAGGAAAGAACCTTCTTATATTAAAAAAACTGAGTCACGGAGGGACAGAGACCAGGAGCAGCAAGGGCAATGTGTCTCCCTTGGATCTTCTAGAAGAGCCCTTGGCCAGGTGTTCCCTAGCTGAGAGTGCTTCCTAAAGAGGGGGGCTTGGTCATGAAGACAGAGACCTTCCATCCCATCCTCTCACACCTAGGGAGAGGGAGACTGGGACGCTGTTGGCATGGGCAGTTTTACAGGTGAGGAAGGCAAGGCTGAGTGAGACTCAGGACTTTCTTCAGCCTCCTGCTGCTCTAGGCCTGGGGGACAGGGGGTTCAGGAAGGAAGTCAGCAGAGCCCAGCCTGCCCTGGAGGAACTGGAACAGCTGGGCCATGGGGTCCTACACCCATCATCTGTTCCACGTACCCACCCCAGCCCTGAGATTGCCTTGGTGCTGCCCTGGCATCTTGTCCTCCAGACTTTCCCAGACCGTTGGCCCCTTCCCTGCAGGCCCCCAGCAGAGGCGTTGTGGGTGTGAAGGGACCCAGCATCGGCAATCAAGTGCTCACCCGCCCACTGCTTCCTGCCTTCCAGACCCTGCCCTCAGTGATAGGTCCTCCATCCCCCGCAGAGCAACTCCCACCCAGCCCCAGCATGGCCCCTGGAAGTTAACGATGCTCAGACCCCACGGTGCCACTGGCCAAGGCTGACCCTGTAATTACAGCAGTTAAGAATAGCCTGGAAGGACCAGCAAGGACTGGAGCTTCTCAAATCACTCCCAGATGGGTGTCCAGGCCAGTATCTTGCCCCTCCGTCCCCAGCCCTGGCCCTGCCAGAACCCTTAGCAAAAGAGCTGGCACTCTCAAGCTAGTGGATGCCAGGGACGCATGCCAGCCTCTAAACTGAGAGGCGGTGGGTCCCCTGCTCCCATGCACCCTGGAAGCCAGAGCCCCCCGCTGACTGGAGATGGAAAGTGCACAGGGCGTCAGCTGTGGGCACAGCTGCAGGGAGGCTGGCAGCGGTGTGCACTCAGCTGCCCTCAGTTTCTTCTGTTTTACAGATTTTCCATCTTGGTTTGGGCAGAACAGTGTGTGCTCTTAAGAGTTATAGGAGCCAGGGGTCAGGCATTCACCCCACTTCCTCCTCCCCTGGGGCGGGAGGGGCTCTATTGTGGTTCCCATCTCTGTCCTTCCTGCCACTTGTGGAGCGTCTTCACTGGAGCATGCCACAGTGGGAATAGTTGGGTGTACTGGGAAGCAGGCCAACCTCGGGCCGTGTGAAAGGCTGGCGGGAGGGGCAGGTACCTGGCACTTTTTGTGTGTAAGGCAGGCCCCATGCTTTGTGCCGGGTGGAGATGGGGGATATGAGAGGGACCAGCAGAGCTCAGTGTTCAAGAAGCAGCTTTTCCCTGGTCCAGGAGACATGCTTTTGGGTGTGAAATGGGAGGGGGTATGAGTGTGAGGGATCTGGAGGAACCTATGCTCTATCCCCTATAGCAGCAGGGGTCATGGCCACCGAATCTTCCCCTGTGGCTGGCAGCCCCAGCTGGGCCAGGGAGCAGGCGGTGGGCTCATCCTGTTTGGCTGTGAGCAAGCTGCTGCTTCATCTGCCTGAGGTGCCAGGGACAGAAGCAGAGCCCATGCAGCCCAAATGAAACTACACTTGTGGCAGGAAGGACCCAGAATAGGGGGCTGGCATGTCCCCATGGCTGCCCCTGGTCCCTGGCTTAAAGCCACCCTGGGTGAGGTCTGTACCTTTCCTGGGCCCTGCCACCCCACCCAGCCAGTCCCACGGGCCAGGTTTGCTTTGCAGTGGAAACATTTCCTTAGCAGCTGCCGTACTCAGCAGCGGCCCACAGGCCCACAAAGGTGCCTCTGATGGGGCTGCTGAGGGCAGCCGCCTCGCCATGGCTGCTTCCTAGTGGAGCCCAGGCCTACAGGAAATCCACCTGGGCTGCTGCTACCGCCACTGCTGCCTTAGGAAGAAGGGCCCCACCCAGGCCCACAGCCACCTCCTCTGCCACATGACTTACACCGCCTGCCTCCTCCTCCGCGTGCCAGAGCCCTCAGCAGCCACTAATTGAATCCAGAGCCTCGCGTGGCCAGGCCCGACTCTATGTTGACATCAACACCCCAAGCCTCTGAGCCTGGCTGTGCTTCCTTCTTACTGCTGGGGTGAGGCTAGGGACCAGGGCTGTGACCTGTGGGTGGACACTGTGTGGGGCCTCTGGGAGGCTTGCTCCAGCTTTTGCTGGGCTCCTCACTGCCCTGGGACCCACTGCCCCTCGCCCTCTGAGGGTAACAGGAAGAGATGGTGTACATCCGTCACTGTCCCCAAGCTGCCTTGGGGACAAGGCAAACCTGGCCTGTGGGACTGGCTGGGGTGGGGTGGCAGGGCCCAGGAAAGGTACAGACCTCACTCAGGGTGGCTTGGGACCCACTGCCCCTCACCCTCTGAGGGTAACAGGAAGAGATGGTGTACATCCATCACTCTCCCAAACCCAGTCCGTGCTACAGCTCTCCTACACATCCCTGGCTCTGCCCCCATCTCAACCTGCAGTTTTGGGGGTTCTAGAGTAGCTGAGTACATCCCCAGTGCAGGGAGCAAAGGGACCCCATGGAGCTACCAAGCCTAGTGCCATCTGTAAGCCAGACGGCCCTTTCGGCCCTGTCTCTGACCTGCTCCTAACAGCTCTGGCTGGCCCCCTCCCTCTGCACCCATCAGGATTCTGGCCTTGGCTATCCACCCTCCCTCTACCCGTACCAAAACCCTCTTCACAGCTGGATCAGAGGGCAGAACAGGACTTCCCAGAAGAGCCTGTGGGACTGTGGGGAGGAGCTGGGGCCACACATACCACCTGGTCTCAGGACCAGACAGCCATGAGACCTGGAATAAGACAGCTTAAGGCACCCCCTCCCTGGAGGTCAGATGGTAAACTGCCCATGAGACCTGCCCCTGAGCAGGGGATGACCTCCCCTGGGTCTCTCTGGGCCCCATATCTGCCACAAGCATCTCTCAGACTCAGGCACTATAGTTCCTGCTGGCAGAAAACTGGATCTGGCTAGGGTGAGGCTGCTCTAACTGGTCCCCCTTTTCCAAAGACAGGTGGCCCTATCCCTGCCTGGGTCTCACTTCACTCCTGGCCGGGCTGCCCTTCTGGCAAGACCCTCTGTGGCAGCCCTTGAAGCCCAGACCTGATGCCCTGTGGGAGATGTCTGCAGCCTCCCACAGAGGCTAGCCTTCCCATCCTCCCTGAACCCAACCTGTGTATCCCAGGCCAAGCCTGAGAAGCACTTACTTCATTTTGTCTTTTATTTTTTACAAAAGGCCTTCATATCATCGTTTATCTTATAAAAACCAAAGTCCTTGTCTCTGAGTTTGAAAAACATTTTCCCAGCATAAATGGGAAAGGATTGCTTATAAATACACTTTAAAAAATGAAACAACAGAAGCAAGTCCACATGTTCCCAGAGCACCTTCCTTTCCAGTTTCCTGTGTTCCTGTGCTTCTGGGGCCGAGGCTGGGGCCACAGGGCCCATCCCCACCCATGTTCTTTCTGGGGGCTTCCTTCACTGGCCCCCAGTCTCCTTGGGTTGGGTGAGCCCAGCAGGGCCCCAGCCGCATTACCAGCACACGGCAGAGCCTGCCAGGCCCCAGGATTGCACATTGAAAAGGTGGGGCAGATGCCAACCTTATAAGCACTCAGGCTAGGGGGCTGTCAAAGCTCATTACCTGGGCCACAGCAACTCACAAAAGAGATCAAGGCAGAGAGGGGCAGGGACTAGGAGTGGTCACATAGCCCTACCCAGCACATGTGTCCCCGGGATATGCACTGAGAACTTTCTTGTGTGGCAGCAGAGGGTGCTGGCTGAGAACTCAGCCCATGGCTCTCCCTGAGGCTTAGATATAGGGTTTTGCAGGGAGGGCACCTTGGAGGCTGGGCCCTGGGTAGCCCATGAGCAGCACCTCGCACTCAGGCCCACCTGGCAGGGCCTCCCCAGCACCCTCAGTTGCCTTGGGGCCTGGCTCCAAAGGGGCCTTGACACCTTCTAGCTCCAGGGGCCCTGCCCCTGGTCCCACCTGGCCCTTGCCCTGAGCCATGGCTGCTGCCCGTCCCCTCCGCACACAGTAGGCTGCCCCTGCAGCAGCCAGCACAGCCAGGAGCACAGCAGCCAAGGCAGGTGCAATAAGAAGTGGCAGGTTGCCCTCTCGGGCCTGGGTGACTGGGGCATGGTTGGAGCGGACAGCCGGGGGTGTGCGGGCCTCCCCACAGGCCTCTCTGCCTTCAGGTACCCGCCCAGCTCCCAAGGGTGTGACACAGATGGCGTAGGTGGCGTTGGGTCGCAGCTGGGTGACCGTGTACTCTGTGAGTGAGGCAGGAAGTCGCAGAGTCACCAGCCGCTTGTCAGGGCCTGACAGGTTGCGGTAGGTGAGGCGGAGGCTCCTGAGCTGCAGCGCGCTGCCCTGCAGGTAGCGCTGCAGTCCCACACGCAGGGAGGTGGGGCTCACTGGCTCAATGCCGAGGGGCAGGGGTTGGGGAGGCCCTGGTGTGTCAGGTGTGGGGCTGGACTGCGGCCCCTGCCCCACTCGGCTCTCACAGTACAAGCCCGTGAAGCCCACAGGGCACAGGCACTCCAGGTGCTGCCTTGGTCCTAGCTGGCAGGTGCCCCCGTTGAGGCAGGTAGATGCAGGGCAGTCCTGGGCCTGGGAAGCAGGCCCTTTGGTTGGCAGGGCAGTGGATGGTGGGCTGGGGGCCTTGGTGGCTGGCTCAGTCAGGCTCAGCCAGGTAGGAGCCAAGCTGGAAGGTAAGAGTGTGGGCTCCCCCACTACTGGTCTTGTGGTAGGGGCTGTGGCAGTGGTGGTGGTGGCTGGGCAGCCAAAGTCAGCATAGTCAAGCTCCAGGAGCAGTCGGCCAGCATTCTTTGGTGGAAAATGGCAGCGTGTCTCTTCAGGGCTGGCCAGTGTGATGTGGCTGTCACGTACCCAGGGGCCGAACCAGCTCAAGGGGCACACGCAGTTGAAGGGATTGCGGGCAGCTGCCAGGAGCCGCAGTCGGGGGAAGAGGCCTGCAAGGTCACTTGGCAAGGCCTGCAGGCTCAGGTTGCTAAGGTCCAGCTCCTGCAGGGCGGCCAGGCCAGCCAGGTCCTCAGGCCGCAGCTGGGCTATGCGGGTGTTGCCAGCCAGCCGCAGTCGTGTCAGGCCCCGCAGGACTCGGATCACAGGAGGAACGTGTTCTAGTTGGTTGTCAGACACATCCAGGTCATGCAAGTTGCGTAGGTGGCCAAAGAGCCCCTCATCCAGCTGCTGCAGCCCCAAGCCAGCCAGCCGCAGTGCCTCCACGTTGGCAGTATCCAGGATCCCGGGCTCCAGGGCCGGGAGGTGGTTGTGGCTGAGGTCAAGCAGAAGCAGGCGGGGCAGGTGCAGTGGGGGCAGTGCCCGTAGCTCGTTGTCCTGCAGCTTGAGCTCCAGGAGGCGATCTAGTGCATCGAAGGCGCCCGGCTGGATGTGGCGGATTCGGTTCTTGCCCAGGTAGAGGCGCTCAAGGCGCCGCAGACCACGGAAGGTCTCGTTGGTGATCTCACGCAGTTTGTTGGAGGTCAGATCCAGATTACTGAGGTTGGTGAGTGGTTGAAAGATGCCACCAGGCAGGCTGGTGATTTGGTTCTGTGACAAGTCCAGGAGCTGCAGGCCTGGCAAGCTGGCAAAGCTGCTTGCATCAAGTGTGGTGATGCCGTTCTCAAAGATGTACAGGCCTGCTGTGTCAGGTGGCACGTCTCGGGGCACTGTGGTCCCCTGGCGGGCAGTGCAGAAGACTGTCTGTGGCTGGTTGCACTGACAGCCAGATGGGCACCCCTGCACCCTGGGCCCTGGGACCAGCAGTAGAAGCAGCAGCAGGGGCTGTGGCAGAGGACTCCTGGAGCGCATCTTCTGTCCCTGGGAGCAAAGAAGCCATGAGTCAGGGCTGAGAGGTCAGCTACGCCAGGAAGGGCCAGAAGGGATTTCATCACTCCCCGCCCCCAAATGCAACAGAGCCCAGTGATTATGAGTCAGGTCCCCCGGCCCGGTTCCTGGCCCATCCCCATCACTCCCTTACCATGTGACCTCATCTTTTTTTTGCACTAGGGAGTGAACCCAGGGGCACCTTACCACCAAGCAACATCCCCATCTCTTTTTAGTTTTTGAGACAGTCCCTGGGGTTATAGGTGTGTTCCACTGTGCCTATCTGACCTTACAGTTACGATGTTGGCTGTTGTGAGCACTCCGTACGCTGATGTGTGCAGATGAGCACAGGGACTGAGGGCCACTGAGTACCCAGTGACCATGTACTCTTCGTCCTCCTGAACCCACATCTCCTACCTCTTCCTACCTGTGGTAGAAAAAGGGAAGATCAGGGAAGGAGAGAGAATTGTGTGTCATGGAGTGGCAGTCCTTCCCAGCAGCATCTGGGAGAGACTGGGCAGGCAGTCAGCCCAGGCGCGTAAGCAGAGAAGCTGGCTGCCCCAGGCTGCTGGCCCCTGGGCCACGTTCTTCATCCCTCCCTCCTCCAAGACCGCAGCAGGAAGACTTCACATGGAAACTATGGGATTGGTGTTTTTCCATTTGTGCAGTCAGACCTGCCCAGGACAGGGGCTGTGGGCTGCCAGGATGTGGCTAGGGGGAAAGTTCCTGGAGGAGGGGCAGGCTGGCTGCAGTCCTTGGCAGGTGTCTGCTTGTCCCAGGGAAATGGGGAAGCAGGGAGCCTGCCTCTTCAGACCCATTTCCAGACCAGGACAGAACTAGAGGTAAAGGGCCCCTGAGGTCGGGTGGGGGGCACTGGTGTGAGGTGGCCACAGAGGCAATGCCAGGCTGTACTGAAGCCCCAGGTTCACTCCTCTCATGGTCCTCCAGGTCTGCTCTGGGCATGACACTGAGAATAGTGGGCAGCAGCACCCCTCAGCAGTGGCAGTGTGCAGCTACTTCAGGGGAAGCTGCTCTTACCACTCCCAAAGGGACAAGAGGAAAGGGGGCCCTCAGAGGTGCCAGGAGGTCTGAGCTGTAGCCCAAGGCCTTAAGGGTCTGCCCCTGGGACAGGGTCCACACCTTCTATCTTTTTTTTTTTTTAGTTGTAGTTGTACACAATACTTTTTTATTTATTTGTATGTGGTGCTGAGGATCGGACCCAGGGCCCCACATATGCTAGGCAAATGCTCCACCACTGAGCTACACTCAGCCCCAATGGGGTTCTTTTTTTTTATCTTTTTTTGGAACTTGGGGTTGAACCCAGGACTTTGTAAACGCAAGGCAAACGCTGCCACTGAGCTACATCCCAGCCCAGTCCATGCCCTCTAGATGAAGGATGCCGTGTCTTGACTCTTGCTCCTAACTGGAACAGCTGAGACAAGATGGTCCACAGCTTGCCCCCTTCCCCCATAATGTAGGCGCCCAGAGCAGCCTGGGGCCATATCCAGGAATGGACCTCATATCATGGGTGCCTCTGAGACTGCTGAGTCTCATCTGGAGTGCCAGCCTCTCCCCCAGAGGCAGTCCTGCCAGTGGTCAGCACCTGCCTGATGCTCACTCACACAAGAGCCTTTTGTGCTGGAGCTGGGCCTCTCCTTCGCTCATGTGGCCAAAGCAGGTAACAAGACACCCCCACCCAGCCTGCCTGCCCCAGGGTGTGGGGAGGAGCCCATCCACGAGCTCCCCGTCATCCAGGCACATGGCCCCTGGACTGTAAGAAGGAAAAGGAGTCATCCCAGGCTAGATGAGTCAGGTCCTTAGGGTCTTAGGCCAGCTCTAGGTGAAGAGGGAGCCCTTATCACCCAAGTTGGTCCTGTAGGCACTGCTCATCTGCAATGTCCCTTTGCTAGGGAAGTCATCTCCCCAAGGAGCTTCCAGCTGGGAGCCCCTCACTAGTTAGCAGTGATGAAGGCCCTTCAGAGCCCAGCTGTGAAAGCCTTCCCCAACCCCCTTGAGTGCCCCCATGGTGTGACCTAAGGCCCTGTGTGCCGCACCCCCAGCCCTGTCCCCCTCTTGAGATCTGCTCCACCCTCGCTGACTCAGGATGATGGGTGGGGCCTAACCTCCAGATGTGGGCCATGAGTGCCCCCCCAACTGTGCATACATGTGGGGGGTGAGGTGCCGCCTCCTGAATCAACCCTCCCAGAGGGGCCAGGCTGGGGTCAGGTGGGAGGGGACCCTACACGTGGCCATCCTGGCCATATTGCTGCTTCAGCTCCCTGTGGGCCTCCTATAAGGTCATGGTTAAGATTTCTCACTCCTGGCAGGCAGCTCTATGCTGAGGTGTCCAAGCTGTGAGGCCACAGACAGCAGCTAGACTCTTGTACCCACATTTTTCATCTATCTACCTCGGACATCTCAGGGCTGCAGAGGATAGGTGCATGTGGAACACTTAGCACTGAGTGTCCAGACTGGCTTTCAGGGGCTTGGAGCATGGCCAGGGAGGAACCCCCTACTCTGCAGGGAGGAGGGGTAACAGCTGTGGGCTCTGGGCTTCCTAATCTGTTGGGCTTTTAATCAGCAGTCATTGGATCTGGCTACAAGATGGCCACCTGGCTTGACAGGTGACAAGAAGGTGCATTTCAATTGGTGGAGAGATAGTAAGCTCAGAACAGGAGGGACCAAGGAGACCCAGCAAGCAGTAGTTAACTGCTTCCTGTTCCCCAAACATGCAGGGCTGAGCTCCTTTGCCAGAGTCCCTGCTCTACCAGGCAAGGGGAAACAGGAGTTTGCACTGGGGCCTTGGAAAACTCCAGATTTTCCAAGCTGTGGTCTTATGGCCAGGGGGCTCCACCATGGGGTTCCTGGCACCAAGAGCAGATGGGGAAGGAACCTGGAGAGGGCAAAGGCTGACCCTGGAGGGGACAGGTGCAGAGCAGCATGAGACAGAGTTCAGGCCCAAATTCTGGTGAAGTAGATCCCCAAGTCCTTTCATGACTGTGGGGTTCAGTCACTCACTTGCAGAGCCAGCATAAGCATCTCTGTCTCCTTTACCCTCTGGAGCATTGCTCTGTTTGTTTTGTTGTACTGGGGATTAATCTAGGGGTGCTTTACCAGTCCTTTTTATTTTTTGAGACTGGGTCTCTCAATGTGCTCAAACTTGCAGTCATCCTGCTTCAGATTAAATGCTGAGATTACAGGTTTGAGTTGCTGGGATTACCGTCTTGTGCCACTTTGCCCAAAGCTGTTGTTTGTTTGTAAACAGGGATTCAGATGCATGCCTGATGTTTGTCCACTTGGGTGGGGATGGAGGTATCTCCTGGGGTCTCTGCCGCCCTGTGCTATCCAGTGATTACAGCCCTGGCCTGCGCTTTGAAATCTGATCTGCCAAGCTGAGGCAGGGTAGGGAAACCTTTCCCTCTGCTAAGGGTGGGGGAGGGTTCTGGAACAACCCTGAGCTTGAGGGTGCTGTGAGGAAGGGAGGGCTACAGTGAGGGCCCCGGCATCATGACACCATGACCGGGTGTCAAGGTTCCACCACTTTTCGTTGTCCTCAGCACTTATCAGGTAGTCAGTGAACATTAGTTGTCAAGGGTGTTACCTGTACGCATGGACTCCTGCCCACCTGCCCACCCCACTAGGGGGCAAGTTTCCTGCAGGAGCCCACTGTGTATCTTTATGCCAACAGGAGGTCCCTGGACCCAGGTTCAAGGCCTCCACAGCAAGGCTGCCTCCACTATCAGGATGGTGGGAAGTGTGGTGGAGTGTCCTTAGTTTTAGAAATGGGAATGGGGGTGAGCTGTCCCTTGGCCAGCCCTCTGCTGCATATGACCTCTGGGAGGGGCTCTATGAGTAAGAAAGACTAAAGGCACTCGTCATCTCAGCACCCTGAGGGACCCAGAATGCTCCTCACAATGAGTGTGCGACACACTTGTGGGCAACCACTTACATGCAGGGACGGGCACATGGGTGGGGTAGAGTCTAGGCATTTGGGTGACCACATCAGCCCTGAAGCTGGTACACCACACTGCTCCTGGGGAAGGCCATGTACCCAACTGGGCAGAGGACATTTGGACAGACTGACAGATGACAGAGCTCACACTCCCCCTCCTCTTGTGCTAGATGCTTCAGAGAAGGTGTGGGGGATGGGTGCTTCTAATCTGACCCCGTGGCTCTGGGCTCTTGGCTCCTGGTGCTGGCCCGCCTGGGCCTGGGCTCCGCATTCGCACTGCAGGCCAGGCCTGGCAGCAGCCCAGCCCCAGGAGTCTGCCACCCCCGCCCCTCCTCCCCAGGCAGGCGGGACTATTCTGGCGGCCGCCAAAACGGCTGGCTCCGGTTTCGCTGACGTGTCTGTGTCCAAGAAGGCTTACAGCCCCAGGCCTAAATTGGGTCCACCCCATCTCCCCTTCTCTGGGACACAGCAGCTCTTGGCCCACAAAGCAGGGCAGAGAGGTCAGGGGTCTCTGATGTGGGTCCTCACACAAAGGGCAGAGGGGCTTGGTTTCCTCAGAGGCTGCTCCTCAGAATGCGACCCCTCTGCAGGGGCTGGGGGCTGTGGCCCCTGCTGGTGGTTAAGCCAGGGACTCCCAAGCTGGCTCTGTTTATTCTGTCTGCTCTGTGACCTCACTCCAGCTCCCTGACCTCTCTGTGCTTCCATCTCCACCTGTAACCCTTGGGGCTTTTCCACCCCAACTTTTAGGAAGCTTTTAAAAAATTCTGATACCCTGGGCCCATCCAATAAAAAAACCATTAAGTAAGAACTTCTGGAGGTGAGGCCCCGGCAGAGCTGTATTTTAGAAATACAGCTGAGGTGAATCCTCTGCACAGCCATAGGTTTGCAAAGGGGACAGCCAGGGACATCAGCGTGTCTGCCTATCCAGGGAGGAGGTTCTGGATTCCCTCACAGGTGTGGACTGGCTGGCAGCTGGGCCCTCCCCCTCCTCTGTACCCAGTAGGATGGCCTAGCCCCAAGTGGGTGCCTTTAGTGGCAGCATGGGTGACCTGGCAGCTGCCAGACCTGTCAGCCCAGGGCAGGGAGACCAGTGACTAAGACTAGTCCCTGGCTCAAGTGAGCCCTCAGGGTGGCAGGACGTGCCATTT